CAACACTCTCACACACACACACACACACACACACACACACACACACACACACACACACACACACACACACACACAAAATGTTCTGGCATTACCTCCCCTCGCTCTATGCCATTTTAGCGCAAATGCTATTCAAGTGAACAAAGAAAATTCTTAGCTTGAGATCATATCAGAGAAAGAGCTACAGCAAAGCCAGGACAGGTATCTGAAAATTCTTCCGTGACAATCACACCATGTTTTTGTGGTTTTGGCATTTCAGTGCCAATCCAACTAGTGCCTTTCAGAGTTCTTCTCCCTTAAGTCGCTGTTATGTGTGAAGGGTAAAAATATTAAATTGGCGATTTCAAAGTCAAAGTACACAGAGTAAAAAGCAAAGGGAAAAAATGCTTTTCTGGCTCTGATCTGCCACTTTTGTGCTCTTTCTCTGTGTGAAAAGTCTAATGTAAAACAATACACGAATCACTTTGACAAGCACAGCTGCATAATCTAAACACTGTTGTTCCAACATGGCTGAAGAGCAGACTTTCAAACTTTCCCCATCTTACAAAACACTTTTTTCCCCAACAGGACCACCTGCAGACAGCAGAAACTGCGACACACTCACTCGGGTTCATTATTTATGCAAGCTGCTGCTAAATGTTAATTGTCAAATTGCTGTGTAACTCTACTTGAAGACAAGATTCTGCGTCAGGAAAATATACGCGCTGTTTTCTCTCCTCTTCAGAAAGTTATCTTGGATTGCGGACAATGGCGGAAACGGACTGTCACTCATCCAATAAGCCGTCTAGCGTTCCATTAATAATAAAACCAGAGCCTCAGCGGACCAATACATCGAGAAAGGAAGGAAAAGTCATCAAGTCAGAAACCAAATGAAAACTTAATATAGTAACTTGTCTTCAGTAGATGTAGTTCACATCCATGTGCATGTTTTTTTGTACTTTTGGGGACTTTTTGGTGCGTGTAGAGCGTGTCAATGATGCTAAGCTAATGGAGAAAGTGCTAATGGCTACACAATGAAAAGAAACACATTGTCTTGGCACTAGCTGATCTAAGATAAGATAAGATAAGAAAACCTTTATTAGTCTCGCAATGGAGAAATTCCCAATACACAGCAGCAAAGTTATGAAAGGAAGAAGTAGAACAACAAAATATAGGAGCTGCTGGAAAGGCAGCCACTCTCGCGGCGCCATCTACGTTGCTTTTGTCCACATTCTGGGAGGTTTCTTGGGCTTTGTTGGGGCAAGTGTCGCCTTTCATAAGTGGTGTCTGCTATGCAAAGCTAAAGAGGAAATTGGTTAACCCTGGCAAGTATAGTTATCAGTAATGCTCATTTGACATTTGCATCTGTTGATTGGCATTTTTGGAGTGTGAAGTGTATTTGTGATGCGATAGTGAGAGGAAACCACTAATTATGAGAATACGACTAATAATTGGCCAAAAACTGACCAAAGCAACATGGTCCACGCATACAACCATCACTGATGCTCAGCTGAAAAGGAGAATGCGAATGACGACAATAAAACTAAACGTCACCACTCTCGGTGTTGTTTGCGGCATCGTTTCACCAGACAGTTTTTGAGCTTTACACAGCAATAAAAAAATGCTGTGATACATTGTTATATTTACACTCTTACAGAAGGTATTGTATACTTGTCGAAAGTCTCTTAATAGCAGTCGAAAGTTGAATGCTTTAAAGGAAAAGTGAGACTGGTGCCGAGAGAGCTGTATTCCCCTGTAATGACCGAGAATGTGGGCGGCAAGGCTAGCGGTGGCGTCGGTAACGAGCGCCATGCATCATGTGCCACCATTGCTAATTGTGCTGCCCGGCTATATTTAGCTTCTGTGCTTCAATTACCTGTTTTTTTGCGCAGAGCTAATCAACACGTCGCAGGCGGCTGCGCTGCCGCTAAAAAAAAAAAAAGAAGGAAAAAAACGCAGATGGTGGCGAGAGCGTTGATGGATTCGTTTAATTAAGTCGTCCGATGCGCACGCCAACACTTAATAGCATTTGGAGGGGAAACTCGTTCAGAGACAAGATTAATACGATGACTTGTACTTGCCTCAATACTCCAAACTACGTCCACAGTTAATAAACAACAAAGCAAAACAACCTTATGAAGTGAACTATTTGTGGGATTTATCACAGCTGCATAACATGCGCACGTAAGAAAGGTCTCGAATTTAAGCATCATTTAAAATACAAAAACAAAAAAAGAAACATGAAAGAGCTAAAAATGTCATTGCAATCACCAATTAGTGTAGCACCAGGATTAAGGAAGCCAAACTTCTGAAGAATGTTTTTTTTTCTCTTTGAAGACCTCTCTTTCCATGTGTTGTCTGGGTTTACAAAATTTCCAGTGGGTCCTTTAAAGCAGGGGTCCCCAACCGCCGGTCCGCGGACCGGTACCGGTCCGCAGGGCATTTGGTACCGGGCCGCACAGAAAGAACTTGCTTTAATTCCGTTTTATTTATTTCGGAATACGACAGATGTTTTATTTTGAAAAACTACCGGATTCTCCGTTACATCCGTCTGTGTCACGCTTGACACACGTCAAGCCGCGCTTCTCCTTCACGTGACCGATTACGGTAAAAACAAAATTCCAGAGCTCGCAAAATGAGTAATAAAACTGCTGGAGAGCGCAAATGACGGCGGCGTTAAAAGTACAGGCATGTGGTAAAGTGGTGGGGGGGTGGGGGGGGGGGGGGGGGGGGGTTCTGCAGCAACGGTGACGAAAACAAAATTACGAAGTAGACTGGACATAAAACACACACGTGAGGTGTCATTGTCTCCTATTACCCCGAGATGGGACCGTCTGGTTGCAGAAAATCAAGCTCGGGGCTGTGGTGAGTCGTCATTTTCATGCACTTTGAATTTGCATTGTATCGTATTTTGAAGGCATTAAACGTAACCATCGCGATCAGAGAGAGTGTTGCGGCCAGATTAGACGCTCCTTGTGTTTATTATTATATTTCGAAAACACCACAGTTTCCATGCAGCTCATACCATATTATTTTGTTGTATTATTTCCGCCACACCTTAAATGCCGGTCCCTGAAAATATTGTCTGACATAAACCGGTCCGTGGGGCAAAAAAGGTTGGGGACCCCTGCTTTAAAGGACTCTTGGATGTGGGCAAAATGAATCTAAAATGGCCACTTCAAACTAAAATAGCAGATTCCCTTTGTATTTCAGCATTAGCCAGTGCCATGGAAGACGCTGTACCCCGATCAGTAAAAATGTTTGTTAAAATATGGGTTCAGATCTTTGGAACACAATTAGTTTTTCATCATCAGCTGAAGATATTGCGAGCGGCGGTGATTTCAGAGGGAGAATTCCTCACCATTGAGGATATTTGCAACGCGCCGAGGTTTCGGAGAATTAGGGCAAAGGGACGGTGGATAAGCGATTTGTGGGAGTTAGTGGGTATCGCTTGCTCTTCCCACTACTGTCTAAATATGAATTCAAACCTTAGAAGAAGCTTATAACACCTCATCAGCTTACAAGTTGTCACTCAAACCTCATAAAAAGAACTCCAATTGTCACATTAAAGTCACCACTG